AACAGATGGATAGATACAGAAAATGTGGTATTTATACACTATGAAGTACTTCTCTGCCAAAAGAAAGGATAAACTTGAGCCATTTGTAAGAAAATGGGATGTATTTTGAGCCAAAGACGTTAAGTAAAATAAATCAGATACAAAAGCTTAAATATCACCTGGTTTCTCTTATGTGGGAACCCAAAATAAAGAATAAAAGAAAAGATAATGGGAAATAATGAAACCGATCTTTCATATATGGGAAAGGGACCAAGAGATGAAGGGAGTGGAGAGGGAAGACAAGTGAAAGGGATTTAAAAACAAAAAGAATTAAGATGCATTGTATACATGTACGAATGTCCAGGAGGAATGTGGCCATTATTTATTCCAAACATGTACTTATAAAAAAATAACACAGAAGTTTTAGAAGACACCTATAAAAAATGAAGTAACAAGCAGCATAATAGGGGAAAGTATTTGCTACGTGACAAAACACTAGTATCCAAAATATATAAAGAATTATTAAACTCAATAAAAAGAAAAAATAACAGAATTAAATTGTGAACAAAAGACCTGATGACTCTGAAATAAAATGGATTTGGAAAAAAAAAGACGTGACAAGACACTACAAAAGAATGTAAATGAATATTCAGTAAGTACAAAGGGAAAAATGTCAAATAACAAGCAAGCAGGGAAATACAAATTAAAAGCACCTTCAGCAGTCTGAAAAAATAGAAAATACCTACAGATAAAAATGCCAAATATTATGCAATATTCTAAATGGTTTCACTGATAATGTTTTTCTAAAAAACAGAAAAGCAAACTCCTAAGGAAGAGATTTATAACAATAAGGCACAATATATAAGAAACCAGTAAGAACTGCAGTAAAGGTCAGATAGAAAAGCTTCACAGTGATGACTGCAGATCTCAAACAGCCCTGCCAGGTAACAACTCTTTAAAATATAAGATACTCTGAAGGTAAAATCAGGATCTCTTGTGTAAAAACGGAAACAAGACATCTATGTGATAACGAGAGCTTCTTTGGACAATTTTACACCAAAAAGTAGAGACCAAAGAAACATACAGATGTACTATGTTTTCAGAAAAAAGGCTACAGGTTATAGCATCTACCTTGAAAACAACCATAATGCTTTTGATGTCCATTAAATGAGCACTAATAAAATTTACAAAAACTCAAATGTAAACTAGAATTTTTCAGCTGCTCTGGGAAATTGTATGACCTTCATATAACTTCACTATCTAACAGTTAATTCAAAAATAACTCAAGACAGTCAAACAAAGAGTAATAATTAGCATAGAAAAAGGCAGACAGTGAAAGAAAATTCACAAGAAAAGTGTTGTCACAGAAGGAATAAAATTATAACCAAGGTTATTGCCATGACTGCCATCACTCCAGGAAGGCATGAGTGATTGCCATCACTCAAAAAAATAATTTCTACTAAAAAGATAATACTTAAGGCAAAAACAAAGAGCTTTGATAAAAAGCACAAGTCAAGCTAGAGATGAAATACAAACTCATAAAGCTTGAGAGTGTGAAAAAGAAGGAACCATAACCTTCAGAGAAGGGCAATTCACACTGAAACCAGAATTTAAAAAGGCTAGTTACTGACAAAAACATAGGAAAGGATGAGGAAAACAGGACTGAGAAATCAAAATTAGAAGATAAAAATTAGAAATAAGATGATACCCAGGAAGAATAGACAAAAGCCATCTAATAGCAACAAAATGGAACAAAAAAACAGTAATTAAAGTAAGGTTTCCAAGAAAGGGAAAGGAAAAAAGTACAAATTCAAAGTTGCAGGCAACGTCAACAGAGAGGTCCCTGGTTAAACTAAAGAAACGAAAACAAAATGAAGCTTTTCCACAGAAATATTCAACACAAAATACAGTGACACAGTAACACTATAGGTTCTGAAGAATAGGTGATCTAATTATATATCCAGCCAATCTGATTTTAACTATTAAAGTGATAGAGGGAATGGTCAAGAGAGCTAGACTTGTGAATTTAAAGCTTGATTCTGGCAGTTTAACTATGTAACCTCAAAAAGGCCACTTAACTCAGCAGTGGGCCTGAGCTTCCCCAGTTGTAAACAGTTACACAATTAGAGTAAATACCTCATATGGCTATTTTTAAAAAGCTACTGCATTTAAAGCATTCAGAACTGTGCCTGGACTATGTTAAGTGCTACATATGAATCTGCTACTGTTATCAAAGTAGGGTTTTTAGGGCAACATTGCTATATACTCAAGAATGCGAGGAATGGAGAGCATAATATAAATGTTAAACTTATGAGTTCTAGAGTTGAAGTGTTACAGTTTAAACAACAGTTCTGTCATTCACTAGCTGTGTGACATTATACATGTCACCTAACAGTTTTGTGCCCCGGCTTCCTAATCTATAAAATGTGGTTAATAAGTATACTGGATTAATAAAACTGCTGTGCATTAATACACTTAAAACAAGTATAAAATAGCCTTTAAGTGAGTAATAAATGTATGGGGTATTAAAAGAGTATTTAAAATACAACACTGTTTCAAATGGAATAACCTCTGTTAGCACCCCACCTACCATTCCTCCAGTTTAGTTTAAGGGATCTCTTTAGAGGACCTACTACAAACCAAGTATTAGAACAGAAGTTTCTTCCCACTTCACCAGCCACTGGTGTCCTCTTTGTCAGACCTCTTCTCTAACTTTATTCACTCCTGTAGATGACCAGTCTCTTGGGTTCAATTACCATCTATAACAAGGTGATTCTCAAATCTGTATATCCAACTGAAAACACTACTCTAATACCCAACTATCTGGCACTGTCATTTGGACTCATTTCATGATTGCTATGTCCAAAACGGAGTTTCTGATCATATCTTAAAAACTCTGATCCACCTAAAATTCTAACTCTGTAAATGACAATTCCATCCTTCTAGTCATGTAGGTGAAACACCTTGGAGTTATGATTCTTCTTTCTCACAACCAATATCATACCATTCAAGTTGTTCTATTTTCAAAATACAGCACAATCCAACCATTTCTCATGTTAAAAACCATTACCACGTATTACTGTGATTACTGGCACAGTTTCCCTATTTAGGGCCTTCTTCAACAGTTCAAACTTGAGTAAGCAGACAGACTGATCCTTTCAAAATGTAAATCAATTATGTCACTCTCTTGACTCAAACTTCAAGATTTTTATCTCACGAAGAGTAAAAGCTAAAGTTGCTGAAATATGCCACAGAGCCTTACACAACCCTCATTCATACAACCTGACACCCTAATACCGTATTATCCAGCTACACTTGTCTTTTTCCATAAAGCCTACTATAAGCACTCCAATTCAGCCTTGTTACTCCTTCTGCCTTAAGTACCTTTCAACCCCAATCTCCCTTAGACCTCAAGGTCATCCCTGAGTATCTTACGAAAATAGCGTCACCATTACTTTATCCCTTATTTCTCTGCTTTTCCTGCATAAACTTTAATGTTTTTCAGTGGTTGTTTCTTCATATTAAAATATAAATTTCTTAATAGTAGGGATTTTTTGTTTCATTTTGATGTATCTCAATACATGTATGTGCCAGGTACACAGTAGGTATTTAATAAATTTTGGTTAAAAGAAAATGAAAAAACCCTTAATTTCCACCGTTAAGATTTGGTACTCTAAAACGTCCTGCTTGGAACATCTTTCTTTCCTAACCTCTTGAGTTCCTTCCTACCCTGCTTTGTACTTGCTTCACTAAAGTTTCCACATTTTGAAGATTCACCTATTTTTGCAGAATCCACTTGTCTCCTACTGATTCTGGTCCCAATGGACACTCATATCACTAATTTTGCTTAGACAAAATTACTCACATTCTACCAATTATTAATTCCTTTATTCAGTCAATTCCTGTTCTCAGGTTCCCACATTTTGTTGGTAAGTCTTGCTGACTAGTTTCTCTATGTGTGTTCAACACTACAAAGAGCATTTTGCCATTCAAACTCATCTTGAAAAGTGACTGTGCAAATGACAATTCCATCCTTTTAGTCAAATCCAGTTTATCTTTCTCAGCTTCCAACTCTTTACATACCCTTGCCTCAACCCACTGACTATACTCTTTAATACTATTTCCTTCTATAGTGGGCTTCATTTTCTTTCATCAGCTAGCTTTATTCTTTGCTGTACCTGTAAACTCTTCAGTCTTCCTCTTAAAAACACTGTTACTCAAATGAAACTATTAAAAAATGATTTAGCAATCCATAATCAATCCTAGCTAATGATCTCACTTTCTTCTTTTTAAAGCTAAACTTTGTGAAAAAATGACCCATCTCTTCAGCCTCTACTTCTCCATAATCCACTCTGACAATCTCGCTACTTACCTCATCCTGAGAGTTTGTGCCAGCAACTTTTGAATCACAAAATTAAACAGCCTTCTCTGAGTCTCTCTACTAATGTGATGCTCCTTACCAACTATTCCTTCTTTCTTGTGATTCCTCAGCTTTCATCTTTACTTTCTTCATACTTTTCTGTTGGGTAACTCTATAGTAGCTTTTCATCTTATTTGTGAATTGCACACATTCCCCTCAAAGATGTGACTCTTACTAGGTTGGTATCTTGCTCTCGCTCTCTTTCTCTCTCTCTCTTTCTCTCTCTCTCTCTCTCTCTCTCTCTCTCTCTCTCTCTCTCTCTCTCACACACACACACACACACACACACACACACACACGTACGTATGTACATATATACTCTTCAAAATGTTATTTATCTACTACAATGACACAAAGTCAGAAACAGAACCAAGCAATGTCTTCTGATTAACATTATGGAATAATTTATATAATTTTTTATTTTTATTTAAGGGATTATTTACCTGATAAATCACTCTATTATTTACTTCAATTATTAATTTGTTAGAAAAATTTTCAATATATTGAGATATTCGTCACTAATAACATGTCTAAAACAATGCAAATTGGCTAACGAGAAACAAATAAATAAAGATTTGTAACACAGTCTTTTTCTCCATACCTTCCAATAGTAGCTTTGCCTTCATTTTTCACAGACTGATAAATCTTTCTCTCTTCATCTGAAAGTGTAATGTGCTGAATGAATACTTTACGTTCTGGTAACTCCAAAACAGGTTTTCCTTTAATTTTGCTTGTCTTTGTTCGTCTAAGTGTTATATTTTTAATTAGGGACTGTAAGCGCCTAAACAAAAATAAAGCAAATAATTATGTCATTTTTGATTTTTATATAAGCTAATCAAATAGAAACAAAACGTATTTTTAGTTTATTACTGTATAATCTTAAAAGTTTTTTTAAAACTCATTTGGATCTTTAATTAATCTGATAATTAGGAATTTTCTACAGTAGCAAGTGCACTGAAATTTCCCTTCAATTCCATACTTATCATTGTTTAATCTTCTTATAACTTATCTTTACTTGTCTTATGCTCTTCTCTCCATTTTTACTCTAGTCATTAACCTTTACTTTCTCCATTGTCTTGTCAACTATATTACTCAACAGTTAACACTCAAACTCTAACCAAGCACCAATGAAGTACCAAGTACTTTACTAAATACTCTAAGAATACAAATATGGAAAAGATCCTACCTTATGAGAGCCAAAATAAAGTTTTTCTCTTTGTAAGTTAAAAAAGCCTGTCTTCCACAATATGAAAATTAAACATATAATATGAAAATCAAATTTTTAAAATGCAGTAAGTAGTCCCCAGATAAAAACATGAGAATTCAGAAGTGTATGAAATGTCTTCTCAATACCATAATCTTCACATTCCCCCCAATGTCAGAAAAAAAGAGGGCATGTTACTTCCTTAAAAAATGTTTTCCTTAACTTGAAATACAGTTTCTTAACGTGGAGTGGAGACTAAAATCCAGAATTAAGTAAAAATAGTAACAGAAGACTATCCAGCTTAATTGAGCTAATAAATCAGCTGTCATGAAATTACTCACCTAAGTCCTGCTTCATCTCCCATTGTAACAGGACGCTGTATTGTTCTGTGCCACCATTCTCTATCAAGAAATGGTTTAAGTTTTAAGAAGGAAAGAAGAGACCACAAGTCCTTCAAAGAATTCTGAATAGGAGTACCTAAACACAAACAGGAGACAGTTAAACTTTGGTTTTGCTGATGTGTGTGTGTGTGTGTGTGTGTGTGTGTGTGTGTGTGTGTGTGTGTTGTGATGCTGGAGATCAAACCTGAGGGCTCAGACTTACTAGGAAAATGCTCCACATATGAGCCAGATTCACAGCTCCAGTTACAACTCTGAAGCACAGCATCTGACAGGACTGTCTACCTTGCCTAATCAGAGACAAGAGCTGAAAAATGGATACTTCACATCAGGCACACCATCAGGCTGTGCCAATAACCCCCTGTGAATCACATACACATCTCCAAGTACAGTTTTGGCATAACTTTTAGTTCCCACTTGCCATACTAAGAAAAAGGTCATAAACCCAGTAAATTCAACTTTCTCTTTACAAAGTACATTACTTTCCGAGCTGTTAAGTAAACTGCAGTAACAAGAAAAAAAAAACTGCAACTAATTTATTCTCTTTCCCACATTCTAGTAAAGGTGTCATGAGCAGCAAATAGGTCCCAAAATGGGTAACAAAAAAAATTCAAAACTCTCATTAATGGATTAGTGTCTACTCTTTCCAGAAGTTCAAGAAAATTACAGTGATCATTCCATAAATCAACTATAAACCAAAGGTTGTTATATTGGGGCTGGGGATTTAGCTCAGTGGCATAAGAACCTGCCTTGCAAGCAGGCAGTCGTGAGTTCGATCCCTGGTACCGATAAAAAAAAAAAAACAAGGTTGTTATAACATGGGTAATTTGAGGAACAAGTCAAAACATTTTATTAAATGACTTATGATTAATTTTGGAACAGACACATTCACTTGCCAAACTGATACATTTTAAAGAATTAAATTTTTAAAAGTTGTTCCTTTTTTCTTGTGCCAGGGATCAAACTGATAACTCTGTGCTTGCCAGGCAGACACTATACCACTGAGCTATATCCCTGGCTAAAAGTTTAATATAAGATGCTCATTTCTGGGGCCAGGGATATAGCTCAGTGGCATAAGTGCCTTCCTGACAAGTGCAAGGTCCTGAGTTTGATTCCAGGTACCCCCAAAAATCTGCTCATTTCTACCATTTTTATGCAACACCCTACTAGAGGTCTCAGCTAGAGTAATTAGGCAAAAGAAGAAAGTACACTCAAATTGGAAAAGAGGAAGTCAAATTTTCACTTTTTACAAGATGACATTTTATATTTAGAAAACCCCACACTTCAATAAAATAATAAATTCTTCAAACTTTAGGATAAAAAAATCCAAAAATTGTTGCATTTCTATAAAACCAGAGCAAATTCTCTGAAAAAAACACCAAGAAAGCAATCTCTGGCTTGGGATTTAACTCAGTGGCATAAGCACCTGCATGGCAAGCACAAGGTGGTGAGTTCAATCCTCAGTACAAAAAAAAAAAAAAGACAGAAAGCAATCTCATTTATAACACCTACCACAAACAACACAACTGAGGAATAAACTGAACCAAAAATGAAAGACCTCTACAATGAAACAGTAATAAAAAGAACTGAAAAGAGCACAAAAAATATGAACCCCACACAGTCTTGGTTACTTTTCCCTCCTGGTAGCAGGGATGTAATTTTGAGGAACATATTTTCTATGCTGCTTCTTGTGATGCCCTCAGACTATCTTTTATCTCAGCAGTAGGGATCTCCTCAGGTGTATCTTTGCAGTCCACAGTTTTACTGGAGCTTTCTTTCTGTCCAAATTCACAATATTTTGAGTCATTGTAAAGCCTCCAAGAATAGTCATGCCACAGCCTCAACTTTAGACTGCCTTGAAATTTCTTCTGCCAGATTAATTTTACTGCCCTAAATCTCAGGCAGAGTCCCTAGACATGAGCAAAATGCAGACAAACTTTCTGACAAGCTGTAACACATATTATCTAGAGTCCAACAACCAATGCAGTCCTTTCGCCCAGCAGAAATCTCCCAAACCTGGTCTTTACCAGCAGTATTTCTATCAGCCTTTTGGTCTTCCAAGCTCTGACCAGAATCTCCCATACAAAACAGCCTAAGGCCTCCCAGCTCTGCTCTTTCAGAAGACGTCTCTGAACCTTTCTAAACTCTTCCCACAAGCCATTCCCAAAGGCTCTTGAACCACAAGGTCAGGTACGGTCACAGCAATAGCCTCCTTTCTCTGGTACCAAATTCTGGAACATGGAACAGCTGCCACCATTACAGAACATGATGCTTTGCAGTATTCTCAAAGCAAAGTCTTTTATACCCAGGTCCCACCTGAAACAGATACATTGAAAAACGTCCACACCATCTAAAGTGATATATAGATTCAATAAAATCTTTATTAAAACACCAATGACATTCTTTACAAAACTAGAAAAAAAAATCCTAAAATCCACATAGAAGCAAAAAAATATCCATCATAATCAAAGCAATGTTGAGCAAAAACAACAAATCAGGAAGCATTATACAATCTAACCTACAAATCTACTAAGTAATTAACACAGCATGGTAATGAAACAGTTTAGAGAATAAGTAAACCCATACACCCACAGCCAAATGATCTTCAACAAAGATACTAAGAACATGCATTAGGTAAAGGACAACCTTTTCAAAAAATAGTGCAGGAAAAATGGATATCCCCACATATAAGAATAAAACTAGACCTCTGTCTTTCACCATTTACAAAAATGAACTTAAAATTGATTAGAGACTTAAATGCAAGACCTGAAAGTAATAAAGCTAGTATAAGAAAACTAAATGAAATGGTTTAGGAACTGGCATGGCCAACAGGTTTTGTATCAAACCCACACAGCACAGGAAATAAAAGCAGAAGTAAACAAATAGGATTATATCAAGTTAACAAGTTTCACATAATAAAACAATCAACAGGGTGAAAAGACAACCCAAAGTGTAAGAGAAATATACCAGGACCTGACAAGGGCATTAATATCCAGAATATGTAAGAAACACCACTCAATAGCAAAACATAAAAACAACATTGAATAATCTGATTCAAAGATGGGCAACAGACTTAAGTAGCTATTTCTCAAAAGAAAACATCTAAATGACCAATAGATATTAAATGGAAAATGGTCAATATTACTAATGATCAGGAACATGCAAATCAAAACTACACTGAAATATCACCTCATTCAAGTTAAAATAACTATCATCAAAAAGACAAACTATAAATGCCGCCATCACTATCATAAAAAAGACAAACTATAAATGCCGCCAGGATGTAGGAACAAGAGAACATTTATATACCAGTGGTGGATAATATAAATAAATATAGTCATCAAAAACTATGGAAAGTATTATGCAATATTAAAAAGTCGATACTGCTGGGCATGTGATGCATGCCTGTAATCTTAGCTCTTGGTAGGCTGAGGCATGAGGATTGTTGCAAGTTCAAAACCAGCCGAGACTACAAAGTGAGCTCAAGGCCAGCCTCAACCGCATAATGAGATCTTGTCTCAAAAACACCAAAAAATAAAAAATAAATAATAATGGGGGCCTAGGGATTTAGCTTAGTGGCATAAGCGCCTGCCTGGCAAGTGCGAGGTCATGAGTTCAATCCCCGGTACCAAAAAAAGAAAAAGCTGATGCTATAAGAAAATGAGAGGAAAATGGTGGCTATTAGAGGGTGGGGAGAGTTGGGGGAGAAAAGGATACGGAAAAATTAGATGATCACTCAATTACTCAATTGGTACTAAGTTATAGTTATATGTTCTAGTGTCCTATCACACAATAGGATGACTACAGACAATAAATTTGCACTGAACATTTCAAAAAATGTAGAAGATTGTGTTTTCTTTTCTTTTCTTTTTTTTTTTTTTCTTGGTACCAGGGATTGAACTCATGACCTTGTGCTTGTCAGGCAGGTGCTTATGCCACTGAGCTAAATCCCCAGCCCTAACGACTGTGTTTTCATCACAAAGAAAAATTCGCTCCGGGGATAAACATGCTTACCCTAATTTGAATATCACACAAGTACACTTATCAAAACATCACATGGTACCTCATAAATATGTGTAGTATTTACGTGTCAAATTTAAAAAACAATTTTAAAAGTGTTAAAGGTTTAATGCTATGATTACCTACCAGTCAATACCCATCTTCTTTCTGCTTCTAAATCAAGTACAGCTTTTGTCTGCTGGGCATTTGGATTTCGTATAGCATGGCCTTCATCCAGGATCACTCTCAGCCACTTTATGCCATGCAGTGGACTATCACCTTTAGTCTGAAATAAATGATTCATATAAATTAAGACACCCAGAACTGGGCAATAAGATCAAAGCAGTAGGCATCTATTGTAGGCAGGGTTTACAAAGAAAACATTTTAATACAGGTAACAGGAATTTTAATACAGGTAGTTTAACACAGGTAATACATGTAATTTATGGAATTATTTTATAACAGTCACCTAAAGAGTCAAGCACGAAAAATTCAGCAAATCTGTCCACACACTAAGGACCCCAAAGAATCCAGCCAAGAGCTGGATCCCATGGCAACATCCTGCATGAGCCTGGCTGAAGACCTAGAGCCCATGACAGTGCTGCCCTCCGGCCCCACAACTCCAGCTGAAGGCCTAGCACCCACAGTATCTCATGCAAATCTGTTTCACAGATCTACATTGGGAGGGCCCAAAGGTCAGTGGTGGAAGCTAGAAAGTCTACACCAGAGGAACGAAAGATCTGTGCCAATAGGCTGAGAGTTCTGCACTGGAGCCAGGAAGCAATGCTTAAAGTGAGGACCAGAGCTCCTCCAAAAAGTACCACAGTTATCCTCGGTGACAGCAAGCTCCTGAGTTCCTTCAATGATGAGAATAGCTGAGTTCATATCTGGAAAAAAGTATGACAAGCTTCACCTGAAGAACCAACAGCAACAAGAGAACCAACAACATCACTTCTTCCTTTCCAGTTGTCCTTTTTAGGGTTGCTGGCAACAATGCTCAGGTGGGCCCTCCGCACTCAGCACCATGCTGATTCAGTTCTGCTGGTTGTTTTAAGTTGACCACCAGTTATCAGTCCACAACAACATCACAATTCCAGACTTCAACTGTAAAACTACAGCGATAAAAGCAGCATGGCACAAAAGCACACATGTAGATCAACAAAACAGACTGGCAGATGCAGAAACTCCAGGCACATTCCAAAATCTAATCTTTGACAAAGGGGCCAAAAGCATGCTAGAGCAAAGAGTCTCTTTAACAAGTGATGCTGAGAAAAGCAGCTATGCACCTGCAGAAGATTGAACCTAGATCCGTATTTCTTACCATATTTGAAACTAAAATCAAAATGGTTTAAGGATCTAAATGTTCACACAGAAACAGCCTACTAAGAAATAAAATAGGTAAAACTCTTGAAGCCAGGTGTTGCACAAGATATAACACCAAGAATCAATAAATGGGATTATAGAACTCAAAACAAGTTAGATCAACCAAAATAAAAGACCCAATCAAAAAATGAGCATCTGAAATGAAGAGACACTTCTCAGAGAAATACAAATGGCCAATAAAATACCTAAGTGGCACCCAAAGATTCAAGAGCGGCAAGGTCATTGGAAGTGAGTGCTGGCGCCCATGGACTTATCCACATCTTCTGAGGGAAGCTGCTTATCTCCAGCCTGCACACTGGACTGCGAGGCAGCCCTGCTGCAGTAAGCAACCGACAGAGAGGACAGCAAAATTTACTGACAGAAGCTTACAAACCGGAGGAAAATTTTTTGTCTGTGGAAATTCAAGGATCTCCAGAAGTTGCCTTTGGAACTGCACACATTATGGAAGCTTTTGGAAAGTACAGCGCTGCACCTGCTTATGTCCAAGGAAAAAGCTTTTGCAATAATTGTAATACCATATTTCTCCATCACTTTCAGGCAATTTGAAAAGAACACATGGAGATGATGACGATTCTGGCCACACACAAGTGGCAAGTGCACAGAATGGTTGACTCAAAAGGAGCATTATGTAGGGTGTGAATTTTGATTTGGGCAGAGAAAGTACTGAAGAAGATAATAATGTAAAATGATAAAAACATAAGAAGTTTCTTTTCAATTATATGTTGCTTCCAGACACATTTTTCTGCAACTTTTTGTGCAATATTTAACATGATGTTGGACTTCTACAACAGATGGCACTAATGGTTTTACTCTTTTTTCTTTTTATTAACTTTACAGTTTTGTTATAAATCAAGAATTTTTGTACTTGCAAAGAGTATATTGTAATGCTGTACTTTTCATACTTAAAATTTACATGATACAAGGTTATTATGTTCAAGTACAAGCTGGGGGAACTTTTACAAATTTTGGGTAATTTATTTTTTAAAAAAGTTGCCAGGGGCTTGCTAAAAATTGTGTTCTACACAATTTTTGAAAATAATTTTACAGTTACATTTTGTGATGGAGTGTCTTGCAAAAACATTAACAAAATGCAGGAATCTGCCAGCTTTCAGTATTAAATCAATAAATTAATGACCATTTAAAAAATTTGTGATCCCTTCTTAGCTAACTATTCTTACTTTTACTTCTAACTAATGCTTCGTTATAATGCCCACAATTTTTTTATACTATACAAAAATAAATAGGGTTTACTTATCAAAAAAGGTGTGTTGCTTTATAGTACCAAATGCTGAAAAATAAGAGTAGAATTATGATTTTCCTATCACTTTTTCTTTTGAAGCACATAAATTCTTTTTGTTTTTACAGTCAGGATCTTGCTTTATAACTCAGGCAGGCCTCCAACTTGGCATTCTCCTGCCTCACTCTCTTGAGTGCTAGGTTATAGGACAGAAACACGTAAATCTTTATACCAAGTTCTTATGCAGTGTAAAACAGGACAGCCAACTTTCTATTTCCTGTCCTCATCTCTGAAGTTTGGTTCACAGCAAAAAAAGGCTCTCTGCAGAGCCTTTTCCACTGTCCTCAATCACTGAGCAACATCCCCAACTCTTTTTTATTTTTTGACACAAGGTCTTGCTGGGTTGTCCAGGCTGGACTGAAGCCTGGGATCCTCTCTGCCTCAGCCTTCTGAGTGTCAGCATTGCAGGAATACACTGAGTCCAACTTCCTACTGTATTATAAAATATTGCTGGTGGTTTGTAGTGGAGAGCTCCACAGAAGTCAGATGCAATCAGGCCCTGCTGGATTCTGCTGTCCACCTGGAGCTCTGTGATATCGATGAAGGTCTCCTCTACCAAGGAGGCTATGCTCGCTTTCTTTTCGCTTCAGTCGTACTTTGTTTGTGTTTGTTTTTTCAGAATTTCCTAGCTTTTTTTTTTGTCTGAAGGTACTAAGTGGAATACAATAAACCAGTGTAGGACTGCTTTTTTCTACTGAAGCCCCCTCAAAAGAAAAGTGCCTTCCACCATGTAAAAAATGTTGGGAAGGAAAGAGAATTAAGAAGCCAAACCATGCCTTCCCGTGAGTCAGGGCCAGCCATGGGGAACAGGAAGAGAATCAAGAAATCAAGCCACACCTTCCCCTGAGTCAGCCAGTGTTCAGGTTGGGAGACAAGAAGCACCCTACCCACCAGCAACTGGCTGATTCAGAGGAACTCAAGATGACATGATAGCAACAGAAGTGAAAGGAATAGCTTGATGCTTGTATTGTTTGACCTTGCAGGCCTGGGGTTGTTGGTCTGGGCATCTATTTGGAGGTTGGCAATGTGCAGTGCGGCAACTATGGGGGATTTCCTTTTGTTTTGTTTTTGAAATCCAACTTTTTTTTAATATTTATTTTCTTTCTTTTTTTTTTTTTTTTTTTTTTTTTTTGGTAGTACTGGGGATCGAACTCACGACCTCGCACGTTCCAGGCAGGTGCTTATGCCACTGAGCTAAATGCTTGGCCCCCAATGTTTTGTTTGGTTTCACTGTTTTAATTCTGTATCTGGCAATCTAAAGATATGCAATATAACAACTATTGTTAAATTCCTATCATCTTGTTCTGAAAACGTATATTGCCACAGTTGTTTTTTGTTGTCATTTTGCTTTTGTCATTATTTTTTTTTGGGGGGGGGGCTAGTTTACTTCTTTATTTTTCTGTTTTCTCTTTAAAATAAAAAAATTTTTAAAAAATGCTAATCCTCATGAGCCTCTAATAAATTAGTACTATATGTAGGATAGTGAAGAGCTCATAACATTTTTTCTAATTTATTTTGTTTATAAACCATAAATTTTAAAAATGTGCATCTGAAATGAACAGATATTTTCCAGATGAAAAAATATAACAGCAAATATAAACATAAAGTTCAGTAACACTGGTCATTCAAGAAATGCAAATTAAAACAACACTCAGGTTCCAGTTCACTCTCAAGAGAATGCCTATCAAGAAACCAACCAATAACAAATGCTGGCACAGCTATTACGAAAAAAGAACCTTTGTACATTGTTGGTGGGAGTATAAATGGGTACAACGGCTATAAAAATCATTAGAGATTCCTCAAAATATTAAAACTATAAATTTCATTTGACCCAGCTATTCCCTTTCTAGGTATCTTCCTGTAAGAGTTAAAGTCATCATGCCATAGTGATGCTTGCATAACCATGTTTATAGCAGTACAATTTATAGTGGTTAAATCTTGAAAACAGACCACTGGCTCATCAACAGATGCATAAAGAAAATGTAGTACTCATTATACACAATGGAGTACTATTTTCTGCCATAAAGGTTAAACTGAGACATTCCTAAATGGTTGCATCTCAAGACCATAATCTTAATTAAAATAAATCAGACACACAAGTTTAAATAGCATATTGGTTCTCTTATGTAAGAAGCCCAAACTGCATGTAAGGAGCAAAACCAAGAATAGCTATTAGGAAGTAGGATGAACTTCTTCAAATGGGAAGGGGAACAAAAAAGGAGGAAGGCAAGGAAGGGAAAAGAAATTTCAAAAAAGAATTGAGAAAAAAATGGAAATAGCTTTTCTAAATAGGGAAGAGAAGAAGGGCTGAAGGGAGGGAAAATGAATGGAAAAAAAAACTAAAACATTATTTTGTACAAGTACGAATTCCCCATGATAAATATGATCATTACATATGACAAACATGCACTAACAAAAAAATTAAAATAAAAAAAATACAACAAAAATGTCAAATATCTCTAGCTATTACAAAAATGCACATTAACACTGAGATTTCATCTTATTCCAGAAAAAATTATTATTTATTTTATTATTTTATTATTATTTATTATTATTATTTCAGCTATCACCAAGAGATCAAATGATAATAAACACTGGTGAGATTGCAGGAAAAAAGGGAACCCCTCTACATTGTTGGTAGGAATATAAACTAATACATTACTATGTGAATCAGTACAGAGATATCTCAAAAACTAAAAACAGAAATTCCATTTTACCAGCTGTTTCTCTTCTAGGTATTTGTCTGAATGAGCTAAAGATATCATATTATAATGTTAAACAAACATCCATGTCTGTAACAGCATAATTCCTAACAGCTAAATTTTAGAAGCAGCGTATATAATCATCTACAGATAAGTGATGGAGAAAATATGATATTTATACACAATGGAGTGTATAAAGGTCAAATCTGAGTCATTTGTAGGAAAATGGATGCATCTTGAGACCATAATGTTAAGTGAAATAAATTAGACACATAACTTAAAAATTGCATGGTTTTACTTACATGAGAAATCCCAAGTATAAATAAAGGACAAAATAAAAGACAGACAATAGGAAATAGGCAGACAGATTTTTCACAAAATGGAAGGAAATCAAGAGATGGAAGGGAACAGAAAGGAATGAAAAATACAATTGAAATATTCACATAATCATTGAACAGAATGGTTTGCACTGTCAATGTTTGAGTGTTTATCCTCTTTTTATGCTTTGATTTTGTAAATTGAACAACTATTTCTAAGATGACAATATATAATGTATCAACTAGTGATTTCTTAGTGTTACTTTTTCTTTTTTTTGAATTCTGCATTATTCTTTTTTTGTTGTTTTCTTTCTTTCTTTAAATAATGATAAAAAAGACGTGTCATGTATATGGAAAATAAAATATGCACATATACCAACTCCCCACAATGAATGTGGGGATATTAATAAAATTAATTTTTAAAAGACTCAGCAAGGATTATATTTACTACAATTTATTTAATAATATTGCATTGTTATGGTTCTTTAATATCAACACAATGTGCCCACTACTGCTTTAAGAACATCTATTAAATTATTGAATATTCACAAGCTTAGAAAATTTTTATTTGTATTTTACACTTGAAAACATTGAAGTACAAGGTGCTAGATGTGTGATTCAGAGAACAGCAGAGATTACATTCAAACCCAACAAGTCTTTAGCTTTTTTTGAATCTCTATTATACATCAAATTATTCTACCTCAGAATAAAAGTTACGATATAAAAACTGTAGCTGTAACAATCAGTTTAATGTAAAACCTTGCTTTCTTTTATATAAAAAGCAATATTTATAGCACAACACTAGAGTTTGACTGAAAAGTATTTTAAAGAAGTTTTAATTGAACAGCTGAAACTATAAACAAGCACTGAAAAGGATTAGGAAACTCATTAATTGCAGCTATAAAAGAAGCTAACTGTAGAGCCTTGCATGGCAAGACATACCTATAATCCCAGTACTCTGAGAAGGGGAGACAGGAGGATCACAAATTTAATCCAACCTTGTTAATTTAGTGACTTAAAGAGATCTTGTCTCAAAATAAAAAAGAAAAAACATATAATTATGTTTATTATAATATATTTTATATATAAAATATTTATATTATATTTATATTTTATATTTATAAAATATATATTTTATATATAAAATATTTATTTTATATAAATAAAATATTTTATATAAAGTATAAAATATTTATTTATATATTTTTTTTCTTTTTTATTTTGAGACAAGGTCTCTCTAAGTCACTAAATTAACAAGGTTGGATTAAATCTGTGATCCTCCTGTCTTCTCCTAGTCGTGAGTTCGTCCCCAGTACTGATAAAAAAGGAAAAAGACCAAAAAAATAAAAATAAAAATAAATAAATAAAATATTTAAAAATGGGTGCTAAAGCCCTGAATTCAAACAGTTTCTTTTTAAATATTTAATATGGATCAATCATGACAAAATCAATCTTCCAAATTATGCATTTATTAATTGCTCTATGTATGTGAATGAGTGTGTGTGTGTGTGTGTGTGTGTGTGTGTGTGTGTATGGATAGTAGTTACAATTCAAACTGAAAATTAAATATTCTAACTGGAACATATTGCCAAATTAGTATAAAGAAGAAACAGTCTATTTTTTGTAATGTGTTAAAAAAATCCTGCTGACTTTTTATATATTCTTAAATACTTATGAAACAAAGAGCAATATAAAAATCTAGACTTCAGGACACTTTATAAACTTGAAGCACAGTTCTTAAATTCAACCTTTTTAAAAAAGTCAACCTTTAAAAATCTCTTAGGTATCAGCATACTTACTCCATAGTCATGAGTTAAAATATTGTATGTAGTCAAAACAATATCTTGTTTTGAAAGCAAGGCTGGGTCTCTAATACGATCAGGACCATAATAAACATAAAAATTCAAATGTACTTCTGGCTTTATATGCTGTCCAAGCTGGTCCTAAAAGAAAATTAGAAACATGTTTAATATACAGCAGGTTAATATCCAATTTATGTACATAAAAAGTGCAGTCCTGGCAGTCATATCACAAATGAAGCTACTCAAATGGCACAGAAACAATCTTCCTACCGTTCAATCTGAAATACCAAGAACAATAATAACTACACTGCTACATTATCAGGAAAACAGACACATAACACATTATAAAAACTTTTCCTGATCCTATCAATGAGAAACCACTTAATTTTCCAGAAAAAAAAATGAAACTTCTTTCAAACTGAAGTTAGTATTTCTAAAATGTAATATTTTAATAAAAAGGCTCTTTATAATGCTTTCAATGAGTTACTAGCAATAACATAAAAATTAAACATTAAAAGAATATCAACTAATATTTCAAAGGATATAGACAATGATCCAAGCACAGTATCTTGCCTTCATTTATTTAGTACATTCATTTAATGTATCTACTATTTACCAAGTATCAACCATAACAATGGATAATCTAAAAAGGGAAAAAATAAGAAACCATTCTTGCTTTTCTTGAGAACATGATAAACTTTTACAAATGTTTGTAAAATAAATCATGAAAAAAAATAGATTAAGAAGACTTTGAATAAGAAAAAAAATCATGATTATACTGGAGAAGAATGACAGTAGGGAGACCCAGGTGAAAAACTATGAGGTGACAGAAGAAGTAGAAAAAGAATGGGACGGACAGTTGGAACAGACAGATACTAAGAAAGGACTGCTGGGAGTTTGGGACTAATTAAACATGGGGCGTGAGGAAAAGAGAAAAGACAAAGTCTAATACTTCGCATGACTGCCTGGGAGAACCAAATGATAAAAGCATGCGGAAGTTTAACATACTCCTGCCAGTTTGAAGCAGTTGTGCTCCATGCATGACTGTCCTCTTGGGTGCCTTGTACCACTGGTGGTACAAAAGGATCTGATTGCTTTTATTGGTCTTTTTGCTAATCAATTAATAAAAACCCTATAAATGGACTAAATCTAGTTAGGTGTATGAAGCTGAGTGATTACCTCCCCAATAAAAATACTAATTAATACTACTCATATCAATTGAATTATTATATGAATCAACAAATTTAACTGAATTAAAAGATTTATTAATATTTGTGAATTTCCTTAAAATGTCTTATATATAAAGGCACTTGACCTGTACAGAATGTGCAAAACATACAACATGTTTGGCTTTTAGGGGGTTACAAATGGCACTCATTTTCTAAGATAGTCATACTTGTACCATTGAAGATTCAGGTTAAACATCAAAGAGAATGAATACACCTAGTGGGATGAACAGCTAATAAAAGGAAAAAAAAGTAATCAGTAAGGAAATTCATAAAATGACAAGAATAAGACACTACCATTGTAACTGTTTTTTAAAATTTTATTTAAAGAAAGACTAAACAAAACAGAAAATAGGCAGAAATAATACATACGTTCAGAGAAAAAAATAAACAGTAAGAAATCACTAGCTGATGTTTATATACTGTTGTTTTACAAATAGTTGTTCAAGATACAAAAATGGAACATGTAAAGTGGGAATTCAAACAGCGAGACTGCAAACAGTTCTGTTCAACTGTCCAACTAAAACTTAGTAACATGGTTGTCAATCCTATACATTTAAACATACATGCAGTTATCCATATCTTCATTTATGTTTAGACTAAACAAACTAAAGCAGGTTAAAATCATTCTGAACAAAGAATAATAGCATTGCTGGATTTCACATCATGATACTCTGTGATTAGCACTGGGTACTGTAGCATTGTAATTATTGATACAATGTGTCAACTTGAGAAATTTAGAAGCTTAACTGACTCCCCAGATCTACATCATAGGGTGTAGAGGACATGCCCCACGGTAGCTGTTTAGGTCCTAAGATGCTGCAATAATTGATTCATTGCATCAACTTGAGTAATTTAGAAGTTTATCTATGTGACTAAATCAGTTATACATCCTAGGATATAAAGGATCATCCTAGTACAGGTACCCTGCTTACAATATAAGAGAGGAAAAGAAGTTTGTCCCCTTCTGTTTTTCTTGTTGCTTCTGGTGTCTTCTGCTGCCATGCCACCACACTTTGGAGCCAACTGATTATGGACTGAACTCTACAAACTGTGAGCTAAATAAGCCCTTCCCTCTTTAACTTTGGATGATGAGTATTTTGTCCCAACAATGAAAGCAAAATAAAACAACCACCATTATTTACTCAATGTAAATGCTTTTAATTACTCAATCAAAAGACACAGATCGGCAGAATAACTCAAAAACACAAAACCCTATGATATGAAATATATAAGACACACATTTAATTTTTTTAAAGGCATGAATTAAAAATCAAAAGATAAAAACAATATTCTATGCAATAGGAACCCAGAAAAAAAGTAGGAATAGCTATCCCAATTTCAGACAAAAGGGATTTCAAGCCAAGAATGATCAAAAGAAGCAAAGAAGTATGCTACATATTAGTTAAGGGAACAATTTAACAGGAAGAGATAACAATTATAAGCACAGACATAACACACCAAATACCAGCACATCGAACTTCATAAAGCAAATACTAATGGACATGAAAATCAGATAAACACCAATACATTTTTACTGGTAAAACTCTATACAGCACCATCACAAATGGACAGATAAATGACCAAGAAAAAAAATCAAGGAGGAAATATCAGAGGTGAACCAAATCTTCAAGTAAATAAACTTACTGGACATCTACCAAGTGTTCCATTCAACACACAGAATACATATTCTCATCAGCACACAGAACTTTCTCCAAAACTGACCACATACTAGCCCATAAATCATGTTTAAGTAAATACAAATGAATCAAAATTATGCCATGTATGTTATCATAGTGTAATGAAACTAGAAATCAATCGCAAAAGATACCATAAAAACTAAGCAAACACATGGAAACTAAATAAAACCCTACTGAATGATCAATGGCTCACAGAAATTTAAAAAGTTACTACATAGTTCTACAATCAAACAATATTGCGAACACATGGAAACAATGAGGGCAGTCCTAAGAGGAAAGTTTGTAGCAGTGGATTCCCACCCATATCGTAAAAACAAAGCAAGTTCAAATGTGTAACCTACTGATGTATTTCAAGATCATAACAAACTATAATCTAAACCCAAAGCTAGCATGAGGAAGTAACAAAGATCAGAAAAGAAATTAATGAAACTGAAACTAAAACCATCATACGATCAATCAATAGAGTTGGTTCCCTGAAAAACTAAACAAAATAGACAAGCCATTAGTCTTCCTAAAATGAGAGAAAAGACCCAAATCCATGAAATTAGTAATGAAAAATGTAAAATTACATGCGATCTGTTCAAATCCAGGAGATCATGAGTAACTATTTTGAGAAACTACTCTTAACAAAATAGAAAATTCAAAAGAAATGCATAAATTCGTAGATACATATTGAACTATTAGGGCTGAACCAAGAAGATATAAAAATTTGATTATTCCAAGATCAATCAATGAAATTGAAAAATAAAAAGAATGACCAAGAAAAGCCCACATCCAGACAGAGTCACAGTCCAAATCTGTAAGAACTTTATGGAAGATCTAAGGCCAATATTCCTCAAACTCTGTAATGAAATCAAAAGGAAAGCAGTACTTTCAAAGGCATTCCTGGAAGAAAACATTACCTAGATTCTTAAACCTGAAAAAGACACAATCACAAAAGGAAGCTAAATGACACTCTCTTTAATGAACAAAATTACAAAAATCCTCAGCAAGACACTGGCAAACAGAATGCAGCAAATTGTCAAAAATATCACACCAAGACCAAGTAGGATTCATTCCAGGGATGTAAGGATGGTTCAATATATGCAAATCAATAAATGTAATACACAACATTAAATAGATGCAAGGACAAAAATCACCTGATCATCTCAATAGATAGAAAAAAACAGTTGACAAAATCCCAACATCCACTCGTGAAGAAAACAGACATAGTTTGACTTTATCTCGATCTGATGAATACCATCTATGAAAATCCATCAGCCAACAGCATACTAAATGAAGAGAAGCTGAAAGCTTTCCCTCTAACATCAGAAACAACACAATGGTATCTCCTATCACCATTCCTGTTCAATATACTTCTCAAAACGTTAGGCAGAGCACTTAGACACAAGAAAGAAAAGGGAATATGGATAGGAAAGGAAGAAATTAAATTATCATTTGTAGAGGTCATGATCCTCTACATAAAAGATCCCCAAATCTCCACCAAAAGATTCCTAGAATTAATAACCAAATTCAGTTGCATAGCGGGATACAAACTCAAAACTTGAAAATCAATAGCATTCCTGTACACCAATAACAAACTCAACCAAGAGAGAAGTTAAGGATACCTTTCATAACAGCATCAAGGAATATTAAATACTTAGAAATTAACTGAACCAAGGATATGAAAGACCTCTACAATCACAAGTACTTCAGAAAAAAAAAAAAGACTGAAAAGGATATCAGAAAATGGAAAGATACTCCCTATTTCTGAATAGGTAGAATCAGAGATTTGGGGGGGGGTGTCTTTTTGAGACAATGTGTCTCTATGCGGTTCAGTCAGACCTTGAGCTCACTTTGTAGCCCAGGCTGGTCTTGAACTCACAACAATCCTGCCTCAGCTTCCGGAGTGCTGGGATTACAGGCATGAGCCACTGGATAGGTGGAATCAATACAGTCAAAATGGTCATATGTACTTCCAAAACTGTTAAGACAGATTTAATACAATCCCACTCAAAGTAACAACAACATTCCTCACAGAACTACAGAAAATAATACTAAAATTCATGTGGAATCAGGAGACACCTAGAAGACTAAAAATTCTGGGCAACAAGAACAAAGGCGTGAGCATCACAATCCCAGATTTCAACAGCATTGTACTGGCCAAAAAAAAAAAAAAAAAAGTAAGACTTGTGGCTCGATGAGACGGAATAGAAGATGCTCAAGCAACTCCAGGCACATTCAGCTACTTTATCTAGAAAGATAGTCTCTACTACAACTGGTGTTGGCAAAACGTTACTCACATACCAAAAAGTGAAAGTAATTCCACATCTTTCAACATACACTAAACTAAAATCAAAATAGATCAGAGATTCAAATGTATAACAGAAACAATCTGCTGGAAGACAAAAAGAGGTAACTCTTGAAGGCCAATACACAAGGAAAAGACTTTCTGAACAGAACCCCAGTTGCACAAATAATACCAAGAATTAACAAATGGGATCACACCAAATTTAAAAGCTTCTGCCCAACAAATGAAATTACCAAAAGAAAGAAGAGACACCCTACAAAATGGGAAAAGTTTTGCCAGTTTCTCCTCAGAAAACAGACTAATATCTAGAATATATAAAGAACTCAAAATAATAACCCCCAAATTTGAAGTCTCAGTAAAAAATGGACATCTGAAATGAATAGACACTTCTGAGATGAAATATAAATGACCAATAAATACATGAAAAAATTTCACTGAGTTCGATCCTCGGTACCAAAAAAAAAAAAGAAGAAAGAAAAGAAAAAATGTTCAGTATCACTGGCCATTCAAGAAATACAAATTAAATTAACACCAAAGTTCTATGCACTTCAGAAAGATGAACTATCATCAAAAAATCAATCAATAACAAATGCTGTTGAGACTGTGTGGAAACAGGAACTCTTCTGCATTGTTTGTGGACGTATAAATGGGTACAACTACTATGGAAATTTGTATGGAGATTCTTTAAAATACTGAAACTACAAATTCCATTTGACACAGCTATTTCCCTTCTAGATATCTTCCCAAAAGATTTAACTAAAGACAATATGAAACAACGATGTATGCATACCCATGTTTATAGCAGCACAATTCATAATAGCTAAATCTTAGAAGCAGCCTATATGTACATCAACAGATGAATGAATAAAGAAATTGTGGTATTTACATACAATGGAGTGCTACATGACTATAAAGGACAAACGAGTCATTTGTAACAAAATGGATGCACTCTGAAACCATGTTAGGTAAAATAAACCAAATGCACAAGTTTAAATATTATATAATTTCTCTTACATAAGAAATAACCTTACAAAGAATAAAAAACACATCAAGAGAAAGAGAAAAAAGTTACTGTAATCCATCATGCACAATGCATCTAAAAGTATGCCTTGATTTATAGTTCACTGGTCTGTTAGTCTGTCTGTTAATTTCTATGTATGACATTCAAATTTATAAGAACTTGAAAGATAAAAATGAATCTGATTCTGGCAAAAAAGGGGGGGGGGTAGGAGCTAGGAGTAAGGGAAAAAGAAGGAGGAATTGAGATGTGTTATATACGTACCACTTCCCACAATGAATGTAATCATTATGTACTGCAAACATGCACTAATAAAACAAAATCTGAGCCTAGCGTGGGCAACTTAGCAAGACACTGTCTCAAAAAGAAAATGACGGGAGCTGGAGATGTAGCTCAGCACAGAACTGGGCTATATCTCCAGTACTGCAAAGAAAAAAACACACAACTGTAAAAGAATAAAATATGAAACAGTAAAGATAAAAATGCAAAGAACGTTTTTAACAAATCTGGCTAGGGAATAAATCCAGAAGAAAGAGTTCTCTGTGTGAAACCTAAATTAATGAGTGGAAACAAAATGGAGCAGAGCAAATTTGTGGAGGGATTACTGCTAGAACACATGAAAAACAACTTTCCTGAAGAAAGACCCATAGTTACTATGGAGACTACGCCCAGCTATATATGTGTGTGGTATATACATACATATACACCTCAACAGAAAATAAAATAGGTGCTTTTTCATGGTAGGTTAAGTAACTTGCCTAAATATCTAGAAATGGGATTAGCAGAAGAAAAAGTGGCGAAAATTGGACAGATATCCAGGTCTTAACTCCTTTGTTTTCTCCTTAGTTGAACACAAAAAGAGGGAAAATAAGTTCTATCCTGTTCTCAGAAGATTTGGTCATTTACTTGGGAGCTAAGAAGAGAGTAACTTGTTGAGAGACTATGTTTCTTTACCATGAACTCCTACATACCCAACCATCCCTTGTTCCTTTCAATTTTTGCATAATCTCAGTAGCCACGATTTGCCACCATTACCTTGCTAAGTTTACATCACTCAAACTTTTGCTTGCTGAATATAAAATTATATTAATAATTATAAAACACATTTCCATACACCAAGCCCTCAAAGAACGACAGTTATATGATTTATGCTTCCATTAATACCCTGAACTGCCATTCCCGTATGCACGTGCGCCCCTTCCTAGGACACACTACACAGGAAAAAAAAAAAAAAAAAAAAAACCCAAGTAGCATTCATACCTTTGTTAGAATGCAAAAAGAATAAGAGACCACTAAAAATTAATTTAGTTCTATGAGGAAACAATACATTAACCAGAAAAAAATGCACTAATCAGCTTCCTTTTTACAAAATAAACCAAAAACTTGTGATGAAAACAAGTCATGTCATTGACTATATAAAATGAAGAAATACATGAAATTAATATATAAGAAATATATTTGTTATATAATATACAATAAATATATAAGTCAAGAAAGAAAAAAAGTCATGAAGGGGCCCCTAAATATGACAGATAATCTTTTTCAAAGCAGTTTACAGGACCAGTGGCAAGAGCCCAACTGCAATGAGTTAAGGAGTCAGGACAAAGCGTGTGGTGAACATGCCTGCAATCCCAGCACTCTGGAAAGCTAAGGCAGGAAGACGACAAATTCAAGCCCACCCTGGGCAACTCGAGTGATTTAGTAAGACCCTGTCTCATAATAAAAAGTAACAACAACAGCAAAACAAATGCTGGAGACAGCTCAGAATGAAGTGCACACATGGAATCCAGGCACTCTAGGAGGCTGACACAAAAAGATCTCAAGTTCAAGCTCAACATGGGTAACTTAGAGATTTAGCGTGACCTTGCCTTGAAATAAAAAAATACAAAAAGAGCCAAGGATGTAGCTAAGTGTAAAGGTCCCAGGTTCAACAGAAAATGTTGGAGATTATACCTTAGCTTTATCACATATTTACTGGATGACATCAAATTACTTAAATTCTGCTTATTTCCATTTGGTCAGCTGAACAATGAAAATAACAAATCTAAGGATTAAAAGAGAAAAATCCATTAAAAGCTGAAGGACAAGCTAAGCAAATTATGGATCTTTCCACCTTAAGGAAACAAAAGCAGCAAATGCAAAAATTCAAACCAAATCTTATGTTAGGACTGCTGTTTCTTTCTTCTCTCTACTATAAATCTTAAAAGTTACTCAATTCAGCAAATGTAACACTAGTTCACCTAAAAGATATGCAGTAGCCAAGAGTATTTCTAAAGGAATATTTTATCTGGTAAGATGAATAAATATTATATTACTTATTTTTAAATGAAGGGCTTTCAACACTTACAATCCAGTTGCTTAACACAGAAAGTGGACAAATGATCAGTGTTGTTCTTGGTCTCTCCTCAACATCAGTTTTCTTTGAACTATCCATTGTAGATGTTCCTAAAAGAACACATAATTAGTCAAGTATGGTGGTGCATGCTTTTAAACTCAGCATTCTGGGAGGCTAAAGCAGGAGAACCTATTTTCAACCCCAGCCTGGGTAGTGTAGCAAGATATTGTCTCAGAATTAAAAATCTAAATAAAAAGGGCTGGGAATATGGCTCAGTTTGAAAGCCTGCATTCAATCCTTAGTAGCACAAAAATGGAGGTGGGAAGAAGAGGAGGGAGGAAGGGAAATAAAATTTAAAAAGAGGAAGGAAGGTAAAGAGAGTAAAGAATAATGGAAGATAGAAAGGAAAGAGAAAAGGAAAGGAAAGAAAGAGGGAAAAAAGGAAAGAACAAATGAACACGGAGAAAATAACAAGAGGAAGGAAGTAAAGAAAGGAGGAAGGAGGGAGGGGGAGAAAAAGAGAGGGAGACAGAGACAGACAGACAGACAGAGATAGAGAGACAGAGACAGACAGGCCGAACGAGAGAGACAGAGTGAGAGAGAGAGCGAGCAATCATTATTAGCCAGGCTTGGTGGTACACACCTGAAATGCCCATTTCAGAGATCATGACAAGAGGATCCTAAGTTCAAACCCCATTAGGCAAATTTGCTAAGCTGAGACCCTGTCTCACAATAAATTTTTTTTAAAAAATGTACAAACCAGGGCAGGGGACAAAACTCAGTGTAAAAACCACGTGTTCAATCTCTACACCAAAACAAAATAAAAAAGAACATATCACTGACAAAGCCTTTAACAACTTTTTTGCCCTGAAATATTCTTGTCAATAAGGAAACTGACAATAATATATCCATATGAAAATAGAAATTAGGAAGAATTGTAAGAAGAAAATGAATTTGTTTCAAAGTACGAAGTAGCATGGACCGAATTTTTGCCTTACAACTTTAAAATACTAAAAATTCAGATAGCTATTTTTATTGTAAGAGTCAAAGGACTGTCTCTGGGAGGGGACGTGAGGAGAAAGTCTGTAATATGTATTCATACACCTTCATTCATGAAAATGAACATCACTTTATGCTGTCTTCTAAATCTGTATTATTCTTCATCTGGCAAACTCCCAAATGACCTCCAATGGTCTCCACTTCCTGTTATTCATAACTTGTGTAATCACCTCCTGTATCTATCAGGGTTGGTTTCTGTGATCAACAGGAAATGGGTGAAATGATTTATGTAACCTTCATGCTAATGGAAGGCCACAAATACATACATATAGTAATGTCAAACAGTGACAAGAAGAATTAAATGTGATACAAATACAAAAACTGTGGGTTACAGGAGTAGGTTTGGGAAGAGGTAGGGGAACTGCTGCTTTATTAAGAGACAATTGATTAGAACCTTTAATGAAGTAAAAAAGACAAGCAAATATCCAAGGAAAGTGAGTACAGTTTATACCAGATCTAGATGTCTCCCAAAGCTTCATGAGCTCAAAGGTGGTGGCACTCTGGGGAGTGACTGGACCACGGGTGTGTGACCCTAGATTAGTCCCTGATTGGTTTAGCTTATCTCTGGGTATGGATGACATGAGCACACAGGGTTGCAGCCTGGAAGGAATAAAAGGAAGAAAGATGAAAGGCACAACTTCCTGCCTGCCACGCCAGGGCTGCTTCTCCCCGGCCATGCTGCCTGCCTTGGGTCCAGCTGACTATGAACAGAAACTGGTGCAAACTGTGAGCTAAAATAAACTGTTTTAGCTTGTGGATGTTGAGTATTCTATTTAGGCAATGAGAAAGTAACTAAGACAGAATGAATTAGACACATAAGTCCCTTAATAACTAGCTATAATGAGCGTGGAAATTCCTCCTCTCAGTTGTTTGTATCACTAAACAGAACAGTTTCTTATACACCTTCACCAAATACTACACTGTAGTTTGTTGAAACACAGTACCACACATGTTTCTAACGAAATGTTTAACTGTTTAGGATGGAGACTAATTCTAGCAGTAGAGACAGAGAATTATAGATTGGGACATACTCCTTATGCTATTTTTCCCTCAGTTTAATAGTTTATTTATTACACAGCTGATTTCCTCAGATTTGGTTGTAACACATCAAAATGAAACCATCAAAAGTTCCACAATAATATAAGGTTCTTTAAAGTCCCATAAATTGGAAGATCTGGTTTCTCAATAGTGAAAACGATTTAACTAATCCCTTAACTTTTTTATTTTGGCTGGGTAAAAAATTTGTAAACTGAAAATATTTCTGTCTTTTGAGCAGTTCAAGGTAAAAGTAATGTGCAGCAATGTATGCTACCTACCTAATATATTACCTGTCTTTTTTTCTATAACCTGAAATATTTAGAGCTAATACTATTACCTGCCCAAGGCAGAAGAGATGGAGGAATGAGTGGTAAGAAAATACAATGGAATAATAGACTAAAATTTTTTGGAAATACATCTTTTATCATAAAGCACAAACCCTTAATTTATAATACAATATATCAAACAAAAAACTAGAGAACACTGTCAATGTAATAACTATGTACATAAACATTTTCCTGTATTTGCTTAATAACTTTCTTAAAACAAAGAATATCCCGACAAATTGGTAGACTGTTAAAATTTTCCTCTGCATGTTTTCATATATATACAGATCTATTATATCTATACAATACTCACATTTAAATGATTTTTAACTTATATATATATATATATATATAGTCATATATAGTCATAATTTATGTATCACCCACACTTGCTTTGCTCAGTGCTATGTATTTTTGAAAATTATACTTTTTGGTATTTATAGCTCTGGTGTATTCATTTTAACTGATACATACTATTGTATTGCATAAGTAGACTACAATTTATTTTCTACTCCCTTGTTGAATAATATTTACATTATTTTCAGCATTTTGCTAAAACAATGATGCAATGAAACAAGGTGCAATGAAAAGCATTTTTGGATATATGTGTAAATTCTAGGTGGTTCACCTTCAGTTCCATTATACAGTATTTTGCCTAATTATTCTCTATCATAACTGACACTCCTTCCACAACACATGAGAGTTCCTTCTGTTGCAAAACCTTGTCTTATTTAACTAGGCTAAGATTTTTAAATGCTCAAAAATGAGATGGCATTCAGACAGAGGACTTTAACTAGAACATATACAAGAATTGAAAAACATCAGGCCCCCCAAATTCAAAAATCCAATCCAAAAATGGGCATCTGAGATGAACATACACTTCTCAGATGAAGAAATACAAATGGCAAATAAATACAGGAAGAAATGTTCAATATCCCTAGTCATTCGAGAAAGGCAAATTAAAACACTGAGATTCCATCTCACTCCAGAAAGAATGGCTATCATCAAGAACCAACCAGTAACAAATGTAGGCGGGGCTGTGAGGGAAAAAAGTACACTGCTCCACTGTTAGTGAGAGTGTAGACTGGTGCAACACTGTGGAAATCAATGTGGCAAGTCCTCAAAAAACCAGGACTGGAAGTCTTATTCAATCCAGCTATTCCCCTTCAGCTATTCCCCTTTTTCCAAAAAAACTGAAAATGTCATGCCACAGTAATGCATGTGCACCCATGTTCATAGCAACACAATTTGTAATAGCTAAATCTTAGAAACAACCCAAATGCCCCTCAATCACAGAATGGATAAAAAAGATGTGATAGTTTTAATACAATGGAATATTAGATATAAAAAGGATAATTTTGAGGCTTCTATAGGTAAATGGAGGCAACTTGAGACCATACTTGTAAATGAAATAAATCAAACCTGTTGGAGACCACTATCAAGCGGCTCTGAGCAGGATTTAAATTTTACTAATTACTTTCTATGTTTATCTAGGCCTAGGCCCCTTGCCTGGTGACGGAAGCTGATTCATAGTAAGTGAACCTCTATGAATCACTGGTCCTGGCTTAGACCTGTAGTGGCCTGTGAGGCCAGAGATACCTCAAAGGGCAAGATAAAGCCACAGCTGTGGACACTCTGGCTCCAACCCCAATTAACAAGGTAGAGACTGCAGCTGCAAAGATTATTCCTACAGTCTCACTTCTACCATGTGTTCATAAGACAGTGATACTAAATTGACTTGACTCATTACTTGGAGATGTCCTTGAAGTGACTCGCAAGGTCCTGCTCACTGTCTGCACTTTCCTCAGTCTCTCCGCCCTTTGTCCTTGGTCTTAATATAAGTGGACTAATCCAGAGAATGCTTTGTCTTTACCCTTGAAGCCTTGAGCTTAATTAAAGGGTTTTGACCCTCCTGGAGCCCTACAAATCATACAATGGTCTCTTTTTATTTAACCTCTGCTGTACACTCATTTGGGAGGTCAGGGATCTATGTCAGAACCCGATAAAATCCACATTTATAAATATGATATTGTCTCCCTAGTGTAAAAAAAATAAATAAATAAAAAACTGAAAGAGTAGTAAGATCTAAAATGTACAATATATATTGTAATAATGAAAGGGAAAGAAAGTGCTCAAAAGGCAAGAACACCTGGGATAGGGGAAAGGAAAAAAGGAAGAAAGGAAAAGACTGTATGTATATAGGTATACATATATAAATGTATATACATATATGTATGCAAGGTAGATAACTATATTACTAACCTCTGTTATTTCATCAAAAAGAACAGTTGTGCTGTCATTGATCATTTTTTATGCCTAGATCTTGTAACCTGAACAACTATTTATAAGATAACAATATGCAATATATTAACTAGTATTAATTTCCTACTTTTTTTGAAATTCTGTATCATTTCTATCCTTTTGTTTTGCTTTTAAAAATTAAAAAAATGAGATTGCATGTAATCATGCCTTCAGTTTGCATTTCTCCAATAATTACATTTGCACATCTCTTCCTATGTTTATTGGTTATTTGGATTTTCTTTTTATGGACTGCATGTCTATTTACTCCAATTCTATTACACTGTCTTACTAGAAATTGATTTGAAAATTCTTATACAATCTACATTCTAATGTTTTTGTTATTTTTTCACACATTTTTTTCAGCCTATTAGTTTCCATTTTATATAGTGCCTTTGATGCAGGGAAATTTTAAATGCAGAATTCAATCTATCCCTAATGATTTTTTGTGTCACACTAAACAAATCAGTATACACCACAGGCATATGATTTGTCTTCATACTTTAACTTCTATTTCTACAACGCTTCTTGGTATGGATTAAGAACTGGTGGTCAACTTAACACCAGCTGGATTACATCAGCATCGTATTGAGCGAAGATGCTCCACCTGAGGAAAGTTGCCAGGATAAACAGGTGGAGAAGAAGGGAGGTGTTGAGGATTGAGGCGTTAAGGCGTTATTACATTGAGGCATTGTGAGTTCTCCAACGAGTTGCTGTTTGAGCTGTTGGTTCTCCTGGAGAAGCTCTGGTCCTCACATTGAGCATTGCTTCCTGGCTCCAGAAGGGAAGACATGTGCCGCTTGGTTTCCAGGATGAACTCCTCACACTGCTTCCTGGCATGTACCCGACTGTGCTTGTTGTCAGAGGAGCTTGAGGCCTCCATGTCACTGAGGACAGCTGTGGTGCCTTTCAGGATAGCCCTGGTCTTTGTTGTGAGTGTGACTTCTCAGCTCCAGCGTAGAACCCTCATCCCACTAGCACAGCTCCTTCATCCTGCTGGCATGGACTTTCTGGCTTCCACCGCTGACCTTTGGGTCTTCCCGGCACGAATCCGTAAAAGAGACTGGCATGAGTCCTTTTGTGGGCTCTTGGCCTCCAGTTGGACTCGTGGGAGGCATTGTCATGAGATCTGGGTTTTCATTTGGATTCAGGTGGGACACTGCTGTGAGATTTAGGCTCTTGACTAAATAATCTATGTCTTTGGTGTTGCAGGTAGATTTCCTGCATTTTCTTGTGTTAATTCCCGGTGACCACTATAAAAATAATATTATAAACTCCATGTCCTGATTCTATTTGTTCTCCACACAACCCCTGACTACAACACTTCTCTTCCCCAGATATATGTATTTTAATTTTAACCAGCTAGGGCTAATTTTCTCACTTGTATCACTGAAATGTGCCTGCCAACAGAAAAAGGCTTCTATGTATGAACTTAATTTCAGCTCAACTGAAAAGTTCAACATTTTTTTAAATTTCCAAAAGTAGCATCAATAGTTCTTTCAATTTCATCTTATTTTATTACCCTTTTATCACATCACTTATCACTGAAAAGTATACACTGAAAATTATCATTGAAGAATGTTCCCCCATTGCTAGATAATAAATCTTGTGAAAATACTCTGCTGTATCTCTAACATGGGAAAGAAACCAAAATATAGATATAATTTGCTCCAGATCACTTTAGACCTATTTCAATCATTTTCCTCGTAACTATAAAGTATAGATTTGTAAGATTACTAACATATCTATAAGAAAAACCAGTTCTATTCCCTCCTAAAATTCAATCCTTATTAGAATTTAATGTAAACTAAATTAAGCTTCAACGTGACCAGAAATTATTTTGTGCCTTCATTAGAAGAAATGCCTGTTACTCAGGAGAAACGACTCCAGCATCATAGTTTGATCTTGTAAAGCAAATACAATAGGAAAAGACACCAGAAGAAAACTATATGAGACAGCTTTTTTTCCTTTTCTGCACCTCCTAACCTTACTTTAATGTTTCAATTTGATTTTTTTCATTGAAAAACAGAAAGAAGCTAAAAACATAGAAGATTTACTGACCCTTTTTTAACATTTTCTTTCTTGCAGTAGGGGAAGGTGGGATAAATCCAAATGTTGCATCTTCTTTAACCTTAGATGATCCTCCTAGAAGAAAAGGAATCCATGGGATTATTAAGAAATTCTAAAATTCTTTCCTGTGCTTTAGGGAAAGGTACTTTCTGAAGACAGGAAACAGAATACCTCTTTTACATTATCTTGATAGCTTATATTATTAAATAATAATATATGGTAACCAAAACTGCTACCTATAATACTAAGCATCTCTTCTGAGTAACCAACCATGGGAAGAGTATTGCTTTCTTAAGGAGTGATGTGAATGTAAGAGCAAACCTAAGCAAAATGATTCAGCTCTCAAGTGGAAGAATTTGTCCAGGAAATAGATATCTGACTCCCAATTATGAGACTGCAAATTTTCAGTAAAGAGGCAATCAGTTATTTTCCAAATACAATACATACTGTTTACTAAGAATATAATACAATCTGAATTAAAGGAAAATAAACATGCTTTTAAGATACAAGAAAAAAGTAAAGTCACTAATTTTCCACCTTTTGATCGTTTAGTTTTTGTTATGACTTTTAGAGGTCAGGAACCTTTGGAAAGTGGCTGAATTACAGGGGCACTATAACTGACTTGCTATTAGGAGATTGGGCCTAGTTCAAAGATAATAATGTTAAAGATAATAATGTTAATATTTCTAAGAAGGCGTTCCCAACATAATTTTGTTAATTATCATTTATACATAAAATGTAAAGTTTTACAAGCAATAGAAAATTATTTTGTTTTCAAACAATCCTCTGAACTGGCCTCGTTTAATTCATTTAATATGTATGGTAAAGTCCAAGGAGAGTTCAAATATAAAGAACAGCCAAACTGAAAACCTCCTACTAAAAACTGCTAAGCTACAGACATGCAAATGAATAAGATTTTACTTCAATAATATTTAAGTGTAGATTATGAATACTGAGAAAACATACACATACCTTTTAAGCTTTTATTCTCTGATTGTACATTTTTCAGTTTTCCTAAAAATTCAACCAAAATAAGGATAAAAATGAGTGCATGAGATTAAAATTTAGGATACAATATCAAATCAAATCCGTTATATACTACCTTTTATCTTCTGTGGCAATTCAATTGTTTCAATTTCATCTGAATCACTACTTTCAATGTGCTGGGCAGTAATTTTTCTTCTAAAATGAAGCACATAGAAGTAATTTTTATAAACTCAAAACACAATGATATAAGAATATTGTTCATAAATGTAATGCCACTATTTTTCTCTTGCCTGTACTTTTTGAAAAAATTTCAAGAGAAAGACTTTACTTGACCAGTAAAAGTCAAATGTGCTCAAAGTATTCTGCATTCATAACAATAAGATACATTTATTTACACACTCAGAAGTACTATTAAGTTTGAAAAACTAAGTTGTCTTAAAAATAATAATCATTACAATATTGGGTTCTATACTCAGTAATTCAATTAAAACGTATATAAATCTACAACAAAGAATTGCTTCACATCAATGAAACTATTGTTAATACTGAAGTTAAGTAGCCAAACGCAAAATGATTCTTTCATGAGAAATTATGTAAATCTTGTGTAGAAACACTGTAACAATGGTTAAGCAACTAAGAAAAATGAATCCTCCAGTTAAAATTCTTTCTGCCACAAATTTGCCACATATTTTTTTAAATAGTAAAGACTAAACCCAAAGCCTTCCATCTCCAGCCCTTTTAAAAATATTTTTACTTTAAAACAAGATCTTGCTAACTCACTAATTTGCCCAGGATGCACTGAATTGAACTTGCAGTTCTCCTGCCTAGACTTCTCGGTACTGGGATTTTAGGTAAATCATCTAATATGTATTCTTTAAGTTTTCATTTATTCATTGTGAAAAAAGGAGTTAAAAATAAAATCAACCTAGGATAGGTCAAATTTTGGTATACATCCTGAAAATAGTATACGTCCTGAAAATAGTGCCTGTTGCACAGTAAGCCTATCTGTATTAGCTATAAAAAATGTTGGCTTGCTTTACTGTTCCACATCATTTTATTTCTGCTTTTGTCCATCCAATCTAGTGCACCTAATGGCACTATGACTGAGGTTTATGGTTGACTGAGACCTACAGACTTGGATTTAGGTGAAATGAAGCCTATGAGCACCATTTAGGGCTCAGTTCAGACAATGTTAATGACACAACTGACTGCCCATAGATTGACAGTGCTCTGGTACAACAGTAAGACAGACAGCAGAGCACATCTTTAGATACTACAGGTAGGCTATACAGTATGACAAAAGTCCAGTATTTGAACCAACTTGACAAGGTAAATGAAGTTCACAGAGTTCGAAGATTTAAAGTAGGATCAGAAGGAATAATGTGCTTTGTTCAAATCTTCCCTGCATGCTTCTAGTCTATGTTAGTACAATAGCCTCCTCAAGTAACTTAATCTATTGTACATTAATAGTATTGTACATTAATGGTAATGTCTATTACCATTACTAGTATAGTAAAAAAGACTGAAATGGACACAGTATACTTTTGTCAAGCTTTATTCAATTTTCATCCCCTAAAATCCATAAAGAAAACTATGTTCAAGTTTCAACAAAAACAAACCATGGCTCTTAGTCCCTATGTGAAAGAAACAAGGAAAAAGTGGTAGAGGATGAGTGACTATTAAAGATTAACAACTCACTTATTTTATATATTAGTATACTTTTCTTCACTTAACTCTACCTGCCCACATCATACTGATTTTAGCGATTTGAAACTTATTTGTTTTAACTCCAGCTCTTGGGAGGCTGAGGCAGAAAGATCCCTGGAAGTTCAAGGGCAGTCCAAAGTGCACAGAAAACCCTGTCTCAAACCTTAAAAATGTATTTAATATAACTACATAATTGAGATACAATAAACACTTCATCTATATATTCATACAGGCTGATATCAACACACAAACAGAAGGTTAAAAAACATGTAATTAAAATCAATAAGTTTACCTTTTGGCCGGGGAGCCAAAGAAATCTAATATGGAATACTTATTCTTCTTGATAGGTGAAACACTGGGTTCTTCAATACATCCAGATCCTTCTACTTCTAAGGAAAAGAAATGCACAGGCAACTGGCAAATGGTCTTAAACTAACAGAATCCCTCTTGCTCTAATTACTCACCTTCAGCTTTCTTAGCATCTTCACTCCTTTCAAGTCCCCCGTTTCCTCAGTGAAACACATTTTCCTAAACTAGAATCTTCCATTACAAAGTACCTTCAGCTTTTTATGAGCGTCTCTTTCCAACAGCCATCCAATCAGTCCTACTGGCTGAATTTCTCTCTATACTAAGACAGCTAAGAGATGCTTAGGAGAGTCGGGGATGCAGACCCCCACCCATGTATCCATTCGATCTTCCTAGATTCTAACTCGAGTACTTTCACATGACCTCATTCACTTTGTAATGAAAGTCACATGCCTATTTTATTTTTTTTTTCTGTTTTTCTTTTTTTTTTTTTTTTTGTACTGGGGATCAAACTCACGACCTTGCATTACCAGGCAGGTGATTGTGCCTCTGAGCTAAACCTCCGAACCCCTGGCCCCAACACATGCCTATTTTCTATAAAACTCCGTTTTTTCCTATTTTTTCCCCTTACTTCTCATTCCTACAACCTTTTCTCCCCCTCTGATATTAACTCTTCCAGGTATTTTTTGTTTCCATTTCTTTCTATAGGTCTATTAATTATTCTTTCCATTGCATTCAAAAATATCTTCCGGCCCACAGATTTATTTCCTACAAATACAAAACAAAACCTCACCCTCAAGTCTTCTCTCTTGAAATGCTTACTTCTCTTTGCTACCACAAAATTAAATAGTACAGTTGTTATTTCCACTTCTTCACCTACTACTCTCATCTGAAAGAACTTCTATCTGGCTCTGTTTTAAACTATCTTCAGAAATTAATTTCACAAAGATCATTTAACTGCTAAAATCATAGACAGATCTCCTCATCTCTCCACTGACTTCAGATTTGGCTCAAACCCATCTTTCCAGCTTTACGGGCTATTATCCATGCACATTGTTTTATAAATACCATAAAATACACTGAGGTCTAAAAACAAAACGGGCTCCCTAATTTTAATTCCCCTATGTCCTTTCATGGAATTGTTTTCTCAACCAAAAATGCTCTTCTTTCCCAGCTTTTCTGAATGAACTACCATCCAATTCAACCACGTCCTTGATGCAACACTTGCTGACTACCAATTCTCACAAGGATATTTAAAAGAAATCCTACATACTTTGTATTACAATCCAGAACTGGAATTATACAAGTAGCCTGGAAAATATAAAGTATCAGGGCATATGCAAAATTAAAGCTTACCTTTGCTTGGGCCATCTACTTTTTCACTGGTACTGTTTTCTCCAAGCTTCACAGAATCATGATTAACATTACCTTCCTTACATTCCTAGATGAAAACATGCATTTCTTTAATGGTATGACGGTCAGTTTTAACACATTAACATACTCAGCCATAAAGCATAAATTTCAGACATTTCTAGATAAATGGATGCACTTTGAAACTATATTCTTAAGTGAAATAAATCAAACACATGTGTATAAATGTTACATTGTTCCCAACTTGAGAACAATGATGAGGAAGGAGGTGAATAAGTAAAGGACATATAAACTGATTAAAAACTTTTTTCACAAACATATCAAAACAAAAAGCTAATTGGTTTTAACCTGTCCAAAAGAATAGAAAAAGAAATCCTCAATTATATTACTGTGAGAAAATTCACGAAATGGGATTTAACTCATGAATTCCCACCACTGTGACACTTTAGCCCCAGCCAACTCCGTATCTGTGGATTGTCCTTGCTTGGCTGTGGCCATTCACCACCCCCAAGCCTGCTCTGCTTTGTTTTTCCCTCTGCAAAGGCTAGAAGAAGCTCCAACCAACAGGCCAACATGATTGTAAGCAAGGTCAATGTCCCTGAAGGGAAAGTAAGCCTTAGGGAGTCAACAACTCCAGGGAGAAAAAAATACAGCTGGCCAGTAATGGTAAACCCAAAAATCCCAGGGCTATGGGAAACTACAAAATTAGTTTGAGTTTTACAATTAAAGTGACTAGATCCAGAGGGCCTGGGCTACCGCCAAAACCATACAACCCCTCTCTCCACCTAGAGTAGCCTGCTGGACAGAGAGATTACAGGTGAATCCTCCTTCCATCCAGAAGGTAAAGGGCACACACACACACACACACACACACACACACACATACACACAGAGCAGGGCCCCAGATGGGACACACAAGATGGAAAGGTGGATCTACCTGCCTGGAAAAGGCCAAAGCAGCAGTCACATTGCAACAAGTTGATAGTCAGATGAGCTGGTGTAGTGCTTAGGCACAAAGACACGTGCATAGAAATGGGTATCTAGGGCCGCCCCTCCCTTTTGTTGTTGTTGTGTTTTTATTTTCCCTGTTCTATTTGGTCCTATTTTGCTTTTCTTTTTATATGTTTGTTTGTTTTATGTGTGGTTATTTTTGTTTTCTGGGTTTTTTCCTTTTCTTTTTCTTTCACAACTTCGATCTCTAACCCTTCTTTTGGTTTACTACTACTCATCCTCTTCCTCCTTTTTTGCCCACCAGCTTGCTGGATTTTATGATAGTTGCATTAAAGTAAACATTGTCTCTTCTCCTTAAGGTTTATACCAATACTCCTAGGCTTTCTCTTCCAAACTTTCTATCTTGTGTCCTACAATTACTCAGATCTCGGATCACCCTTTACCCTCCAGCCTTGCTCCTCCCATATTTAATCTCAGTCATACTACCGCCATCCCTATTAAAACCCCCACATACAACAGGGTAAAATACTCTAATGAGTGGAAAACCATTGCATACAAGTCCTCACTACAAGTTGGAGTAATATAACGGTGGAACTTACCCCTATGTTTAAAGCTACCAGGCTGTTACCACAGTTTGTCAGTACCCAGGATATGCTTGTGTCTAATGTTACTGGTAACTGTACTACATTAACCAGGATGTCATACCTGTTATAATCAGTTTTTCTCCTCTATATGAAAACACTGCAATAAGAGGTCATAGCCATTAGCACGGTCTAGTAAAAAAGGAATGGGCCTGAGTCAAAGAGATAGCAACTTCACATTCTTAACATATTGGGAAAGTAGGTTCTTGATAGACATAAAGGCCAAGAATCACCTCCATCTAGAACACATCATTTCCTAGGGAAACCTCAACAGCAGGGATAAAATTTATCTAACATAAGAAATCTACAAGTATCAATGGAGAACACAAAATAAAATAAAAAATATAAAACTAAAAAACGACAGGACAAAGAAGCAAAATGCAACACCACATGTCCGCCCACACAAGTCCAGAACAAAAAAGATAGAGGAAACTGGAAGCCAACACTGGAACGTTCAGAAATGACAGCAGCAGAAGTGAAAGAACAAATGGAAGAGGCTATAGAAAAAATCACAAGGTGCAAACAGAAACAAATGATCAAAATGGATGATACTAAAGCAGACTCAGATTAAGAAAAAATTGAGGCACTCAGGAAAATGATGGAAACCATGAATGCCCAGTGTAAAAAATAAATAGAAACAATGAAGCAGAACCAAATAGAAATCTGGAAGATTAAAAATTCCATTGAAAGTAACTGTAACAGACTAAAGGAAAGCAAGGACAGAACATTTGATAGAGAAGACAGGATTGCAATTAGCAACATGGGAAAAATACCTTAAAAATAGCAAGAGACCACAAAAAAATCCAACAGCTACAAGATAAAGCAAAGAAGAACAACATAAATTTTTGGGAGTTACTGAGAAAGCTGGAAACAGTGCAAAAGCCATTAAAAATCTTTTCACAGAAAACTTCCCAAACATGAATAAACAATTTGTCATAAAAATTAATGAAGCATACAGAATCACAAATACCCATGACCAAAAGAAATCTTTATCAAGGCACATAATAATCAAGATTCCACAAATTCAGCACAAGAACAAAATATTAAAAGCAGCTACAGAGAAAAATGAATCATCTACAAAGGAAATCCTGTAAGAGTCACAAAACTTCTCAACACAAACCCTCAAACCAAAGAGAGCTTAGAATGAGGTTTTCAAGCCCTTAAAGTAAAACAATCTTCAACCCATATTGATGTACCCCACAAAACTATCCTTCAAAATCAATGGAGAAATAAGATATTTCCATGACAAAGAAAAACTGAAGAAATTCATATCCACCAATCCAGGTCTCCAGAATACTCTAAAAGATAAATGAGAAAGAGAAAATGAAGACCACAACCACAAGAATAACAACAGAAAGAAGCCACCACACAAAGGAAGTAATTAAGAAAAAACAAAAAACTAACAACAGAAAAATAACATGAAAAAGATAAACCAATATATTTCAGTTCATTAATTTAAATGGTCTCAATTCACCATCAAAAGAAACAGACTGGCAGAATAGATCAGGAAACAAGACCCAACAGTATGTTGTATTCAAGAAACATATTTAACCCAAAAATAAAGTCAACTACACGTCAAAGGTTGGAAAACAATAATCCATGCTACAGGAACCCAGAAAAAAGAAGGAGCAGTTATTCTACTTGCAGGCAATGTAAACTTTAAGGCAAAACTCATCAAAAGACACAAAGAAGATCACTATGTACTTGTAAAAGGAAAATTCCAAGAAGAAGAGATAACAAAAGTAAATATATATGCACACACATTCTTCCCAGCTGCACATGGGAGGTTCTCTAAAATAGACTACATATTAACCCACAAAACACAACTTAAGTAGGGGACTGGGGATTTAGCTTAGCAGCACATGCACCTGCCTTGGCAAGCGCAAGGTCATGAGTTCTATCCCCAGTTCCCACCACCACCAAAAAACAAAAAATATGCTAAGAGGAATTGAAATCATCCCATGAACACTATCTAATCAGGGCACAATGAAACTGGAAATCGATGACAAAAGAAATCATAAAAACTACATAAACACATGGAAATTAAATAACACCCTCCTCAATCACCAGTAGGTCACAGAGGAAATTAAAGACGCAATTAAACACTATCTACAATTAAACAATAATGCCGATACAACATACTGGAACTTATGGGACACAATGAAAGCAGTCCTACGAGGGAAATTTATAGCAGTAAACTCTCACATCAGGAAAACAGAACGAACTCAAGTAAACAACCTAATGTTAAACCTCAAACTTTAGAAGAACAAACAAACCCAAAGCTCATATAAGGGAAGAAATTATAAAGATAAGACAGAAATTAATGCATGAATCTAAAAGTTGGTTCTTTGAAAGAATAAAATTGATAAACCATTTGCCTACTTTTATCAAAGAAAGAAAACACACAAATTCAAGCAATTAGGAAAGAAGAGGAAATATCACAACTGATCCTACAGAAATCCAAATCATCAATACCTACTTTTAAGAACCTGTTCTCTAATAAGAGAGAAAACACAGAAGAAACGGACAAATTCCTAGTATTACCCTGACTCTAAAACCAGACAAGAACTTAACCAAAAAATAAAACTACATACTACATGCCAGTTTCCCTCACGAACACAGATAAAAACTGATCAATAAGATACTGGCAAACAGGATATAATAAATCATCAAGAAGATTCCACACCATGACCAAGTAGGGCTCATCCCACGTATGCAGGATGAGTTCACAATATGCAAATCAATAAAACTGATACACAGTATTAACAGTACCAAAGATAAAAATCGTATGATCATCTCATATGCAGAAAAAACATTTGACCAGGTCCAGTACCTGTTCATGATAAAATCACTATAGAAAATTGGAATGCACGGTCTTTACTTCAGTCTGATAAAAGCTATCTATGAAAAATCAACAGTGAACATCATACTAAACTGTCAAAAGTTGAAAGTTTTCACTCTAAAATCAGGAACAAGACAAGGATATCCACTATCACCACTCCTATTCAATACAGTTCTGGAAACATTAGCCAGAACAGTTAGACAAGAAAAAGAAATAAAAGGATTATTCCTTTTATTTTATTTTTATTTTATTCCTATTCTATGCTTATGCATAGAAACAGAAGAAGTTAAATTTTCCTTATTTGCAGATGACATGATACTCTACTTAGAAGACCCAAAAAACTCCACCAAAAACTTTGGATTTAATTATCAAATTCAGCAGTATGCCTGGATACAAAGTCAATACTCAACAATCAATAGCATTCCTGTACACAAGCAACAAACTCACAGAGAAAGAAATTAGGTAACCCATACTCTACATTAACATACAAAAAATAGAATACTTAGGAATTAATCTAACAAAGAAAGTAAAAGATATGTACATTGAAAATTACAGTACTCTGAAAAAAAGGAGATCAAAAAGCATATCAAAAAGTGGAAAATATCCCTTGCTCAAGGATAGGAAGAACACTGAAAA